TTTAGAAATTTCCTACAGTTAGAGCTAGGTGGTCTGTAAATAATGCCAACTATGATGCCGCCGCGCGATGTGCCTGCCAGACAGACCCGCCTGACTTCAGCGTCCCATCCTAACCGTGTCAAACTTCGTACATCCAGAACTGGCCGATACGACCGCTCCTTTGTCCCGAGCGTGTCTAGATTGTGGAACAATCTACGGGAGGAAGCTTTTCCCAGTTCTACTAACCTTAGGCAGTTCAAAAATCGTATTAACAAAATTTCTTTGGGATCATCATAGCAGCCGCGGTGTTCCGGCATTTAGGCTTCTGCGCGGCTGTTTCGATATATAAAAAAAAAATTTTTTCTTCAAGCTGAATTTTAACCCATTATGCTCAATTATGTCCTTGCTCTCACTCTTCAATGTCTTAAATTTTAGATAAGATTTAAGATATATTCCAACACCACCGCCGTGGATCACCCGGTCTTGCCTGACAAATTTGTAACCATTTAAGGAAGTGATATCACTGTCAATATTAGAAATTAACCAGCTCTCTGTAATGCCAACTATATGATAATTGCTGTCAAAAACATCATCTTTAAAACTGTCGAAATTATTTATGGGAGATCTGACATTAAAGTGTGCACAGCGCATAGAAGGAGTGGTAGAAAGGAAGACAAAGAAAAGAGAGTGAGTAGTATATAAATTATAAAAAACTAAATAAATAATGTTTGTACCTGCAGCCTTGCAAAACAAGCTTCTGTTTTAAGTACCCCATACAGTAATTCGTATGCCATGTCCATGAAAAACTCTACTCTTAACCTTATAGAATAAAACTTTAAAAAACCAAAACAAAATTGACGCAAATTAAAATATTAACTATATCAATTAAGGACTGTCGTTCTATGCTCTACACTAGTCTCGTCGAATTGAAAGACAACACAGAACACATCCATTCATACATACTTAATAAAGTGTATCATGCTAAAAGGTATAGAAAATAAAATTTTCAAAAATAAATCCTACAACAGGAAAAAATTTAGTTGTGTAATTCAAGTAGTAAATAGTACAATATAGGTATTATAATAGATGTGACAGCATAACTATGATGTCCATACCTCTAAACAAAATCACTATAAGATGTACCTACATACTATCCATTGTAATGTGATTTATTTAATATATAAATACATATGTTATGCGATCAACTTTCAGTCAAATAAACCAGATGAATGGCAAAATAAATGCGTAGTATTTTCCATTTGGCGCTCGTACACCCCTACAGCCCTCGCAAACGGAATCAGGAATACACATCTAACTCACGAGTTTTTGCAAGTCTCCCGAGTTATTAATGGGATGCATAACGTCACCAAGTTTCACAAACACAAGACAATTACGACACCAGGCATTTTTATAAGTATATTTGTTTACAGCTGCCACAAGGAGGTCCAGACGCTTTTTCGTGAAATCTTCTTTTATTAACACATCCGTAGAACGCAATTTTTTTCTATTTTTAAGGATTGACGACCGATCCTCATCGCAGGAAAAACGAATTAAAACCGCAGGCGGTTTATTATTGTTAGTTTTTGATTGTACCCTATGGCATTTTACAATACGCGATTCATCGATGTTTACTTTCATACGTTTAACAATGTCCTGTACCTTTTTATGTAAATTCTCACCGTTTTCCATGGGTAGGCCAAATACTCTTACATTAAGTTCCGAGAGGGCTGTTCCTGGTCATCAACCGTCCGTAGAATTCTGTCCTGCATGTCCCTAAGGTCCCTGATCTCTTCTTTGAATTCAACGATGGTCTGTTCCTGCTCTCGCAGCCTTGTCTCATACTTCCTTTCGAGGAGCTGGGCAACTCTTTCGGCAATAGTCACAAAACAGCACTGTGTAGGACAAGATATCGGTGAAAAAGGGCACAAATTTTAACGATTCGTGAATGAGCTCAAAAAATCACTGCGGAAAAGCACCACTCAGGAGAGGACACTTCAATATTTACTGGAAATTTTTGAAAAAAATTGGTTGCAGAGTGCAAACGTGTATTTACACACAGAGCGCCAGCTGTCTTCCCATTTTGAGTTAAGACATTTGCTACATCGCTGGATGTACCTGAAAATATGTTGAGCTGTCTTAATGCCGTACACATTCTACACATGTGTCGAACGTTCTTCTAATGAGGTCATTTATGTCTTACCCCAAGCTAGGCGTACTTGGTTCCGAAAAGCTGTGAGCTAAAGATACCTCTTTTCAAACTAGTAATGTAGCTTTCGCTCACCCGATACAACAGGTCCAACCATTTTCAGCTGTTTCGTGCTATTTGGCAACCTGTCAGCGTGATCTAGGCTGGATAAGATAACACACGAAAGCTCATGTCAATTTTGATGTCATTTTACACAGCTCCTATCATTTGCATTATTATAGTAGAATAAAATAGCTAACTTTTGTAACCCAGAGACACAAGAAAAATTTGCTTTTTGCCCTGTGAGTGAAAGAACGGCGTGGTGATACAGACAGGGAAGGCATCGCAACTATCCTCTATCCAGGAGGTACGGTCTATCGAAGTCAGACAGCGTAAAGGGTCATCTGTCACCAAAATCGACTACTGCGGAGAGTGTATAGCAGCTATTTTTTGGGAAGACAGTAGCGGGTGATTTTTCAATTTTATGTCCTAGAGACGAGAGATCAGGCCTAGGTCACGCTGATGAGTAGCCAAAAGGCACGAAACAGCTGTCCATGGTTGGCCGTCTACTGGTCGGATGGACGAAAGTAAAATGTTTAGTTTATTTAATGGCGAGTAGACCACATCCACTATACAGCCGCAATGATCAGGCATCTAGCGGTCATATGGGAACTGGACTAGGACTGTTAAGCGCGAACGAAGGTCTTTACAGTTCCAGAAAATAGCTGCTACGCACTCTCCGCAGTGGTCAATTTTGGTGATAGATGGTGCTTTTCGCATGTCTTGTTTCAACTTGAAAATTACTCGCCCGATTTAGATGGTCAAAAAATTTATTCTGTGAATACTTTAGGGCTAAACAAGAGCCAAGGTTTGTTCCTTAGCGATAAGATAAATTGATAAGAAGAATGACCTCATAATTTGTCGTTGAGTTGCCGACTGAAAAAGGCTTAGATGCCTTTACTCTACTTTTGCTTGGAAAAATATTTCGCCGATTTAGATAAGTCGGTTGTCAGTTCTTCAATAACCGAAATTATCCACGTCAAATGGGATACATACCTCATACAGTGAAAGTGTCTAAACCAGGGTCCAACGGCTGGTTCAACAAATCATGCAACACAGCTCATCGGCAGAAGATCAAGGCACTCAGAATCTTCTTACAAGGCCCCACTGTAGAGATGTCTGCCAATAGTAATAATAGTGACAAAGTGATTCGCAATGCCAAAAATCAACACGAAGTAAAAATCACGCACAGGATAACCCCGCATCACAATGGCGGTTGGTTTTTCTGGACGTCGACCAAGCAGATTGAAGGGGACCTTTATAAGAATAGCCTTCCACCGCTTGCTAGACAGACCTGCCTGACTTCGGCCTCCCATCTGAACCATGTCGAACTGAGGAGGCTCTTCCCAGGTCTACTAATCTAAATAGTGTGAACCAAGGTTCTTTGAGTTCCTCTTAGCAGCCACAGTGCGTTGGTGTTTAGAATTTGCGAGTTTACCATTTGATCATGGACGAAAAAGCTTTGTATTCTTTAAAAATCGATCCAGTGGGGGCGGAGCTTCCGGCAGAAACCGAAAATAAACTGGAAATCGCTCAAACTGGGTTTTTTGAGATTGTAGAGACATCTGTTTATTTTTTGCAAACTTCTGGGGAAACGACTGACAGTGAGGGGTTATAGAGGGTAGGAAGTACAACTAATTCTACGTACATATTCGACACATTTCACGCATAGATTTCTCCAGGGATTTCTCCTTACATTTACTCTTAATACCTGGCTGACTGGTGGCATTCGATGTTTAGTTATCGCAACGTAGCCACCCTCCTATGGGTAGGGCAGGAGAGCAATTTCTAGATGATAACGCTGTCATATAGGTGGGGACTAGGGACTAATTGTACGGACCTTTCGCTTGACTTGATCCACTTATTTTTTTTTTGTTATTCTTCTCAGAGAGATTAATTTTTGCCGAAAATATCCCTTTGTGAACTGATCTGTTCTGTGCCTCAAGTATTCCTGTAGTCATGCAGCTGATTCATTTTCCAGCCACCAAATAGAACAATAGAAGTCGAAAAATTTGCTTACTGATATAGCCTCGCTGACGTCTTGAAACCACAAATTTGACTAGGAATAACTAAAAATCGAGATAAGTATCATTATTTACATTAAAACTGTTTATAGAAAGTTATGGTAAGGAGGATAGAATTACTTTGAAATTGTATAAACCCTACGCTGTTATAGACGGAATTCACATGGCCGAGTCCCAGACACAGTCACCGACAAGTTTCCGATCACTGTACCAACAAACCTATAGTGCATGCCGATTAACAACTATATTAACAGAATAACAAACAATATCTCGTATTTATGTGATACATAGTTTGCTCGCGTCGTTGTCGTCGTCGTCGTCTTTGCGTACATGCGGTGCAGCACGCAGGCGCGGCTCTTCTACGCGTACGGTTGGGGTTGCTTCGCGGTTTCCCACACTACTATCATGAGGATCTAGTTTGCAGACTATCCAGTATTTCCTAGCAACTTGGATATTCAAACGAGTTGGTCCTTTGTTATCTTTGGTTATTAATAAGTTTTGTATACAGTTTATCTGTAAAACTAACACTTTTTTCTTGTTACCTATCATGTCAAAATTGGACACCTCTTGTCGACCTACTTTATACAAGTTACGTGTCATACCTTTTTTGGCTAATTCATTTCAAGAAATTTGAATGACCATACCGTTGGACTTGAAATTGGTATGAACTCACTATGTTAACTGGCGAAGACCTTGGGCAGGAATTGAGGGAAAACAATGAGAAGATTGTAGAGTGTATACTTCTACTACGGGAGCAAAGAGCTGAACTGATTTACATTATTGAAAAGCAGTATGAAGAGAGAAAGAAGTTAGTATACCCCTATTTGGATGTTTTTGTTGTTCACCTATCAAGAATGATTTTCAAAACGGTTGACCGCTTTGAAATTTTCCGTATCACAGGTTTTAGTATCTGTATTTTTGTGATTTTGAAGTCAGAGAGGCCAGCAGTTTGCTAAAAAAGAAAATATTGAGGTATTTCAAAAATTTAAGTTAATGTAGATGATTGAGTTCGGTTTTCGGGTTAACTTATCACTGATGACGACTGAAGATGCGTTTAAAAGTCCAGAGAAACAGAACAGAAATAATCTTGGGGCCTGTGTCAGATGACCACAACGCATTAAGGTTGGTGCATATATCGTCTGAAGTAGTAGGAGAGAGCTGGCAAACCGCAACTTAACAATGAATGGAAAGCGAATGAGTTAGCCCTAAGGTGTGCAGCGAATCACTTTATTGCGGCCCATAGCAGATCACATGCAATACGCTGTTATTAAGCTGCACAAAAAAGATTGGACCAAGAAAACCGACATTTACTAGGGATCTTATTATGACTGAATGAGGGCCATACTGGGTATCTTAATAGGACACCGTTCGACTAAATCGGCATATGATCCCCTTGAACGTAGCAGAAGAGGCTACCTGCCACTTCTGAGGTGAGCATAGAAAACATTTCGTATCACTGCGAAGGTCTCGTAAAGTTAAGGTATCAGGTATTTGGAATAGTAAATCTAATAACGAAAGCTACATGCAAACCCCATTCCAGGGCTGTGTTGTATAAATAAAGTGCCAAAGCTAGACAAAGTCCTTTAGACAGTGTACATTGGAGAACAGTCTATACATAGGAGTCTCAGCGACGCTTGGGCCCGCGTGCTAACCCCTTTCTATAAACTGTAATCTATGATAGATGATCGAGGCCTACGTAGGTCACTGAGCGCACGACTCGGCTCAGGCTGTTCGCTAACTGATACCCAGAGCATAGAATTTAGGATCCTCAAATGCGTTGACGCGTTATTGAAAAAAAAAAGATGGACGGGTAACCATGCAGGCGAAAACCTTCTTTTCTAATGACAGACACACATCTTGTGTCAGCGGCAGTGGCGTAGACTCTAAAAGGAGTCTATGATCATGAAAAATTAAGACAACACCACGCACTAAACAGGGTCTAATTGGAACAAACAATGAAAATTCAGCTTGCCCGTTGCAAATAAAGTTTTCTTGCTCAGTATAAACAGCCGTAGGCCCCTTCATGTCAAAATCTATATAATATATGTTTTTCGAATATATAGAAGGATTCGTCACATATGAAAAATGTGAAGTAGCTGATAAAAAAAAACGCAGCTTTTCGTTTTTTGCGTGAAAATCAGATTCAGCTTGCGTACGCTTCGTAATTCATATTGGCGAAGTAAGTTCATGTAGTTTGCTACAAAATGCCTATTGAACGAACCATGTACGTTGCTACTTGAATAGTCATCCCCAAGTGTATTCTGGTTATTTAGATGTATGGAGAGCTACCGATTCGAGAAGTTTCAAGTACCTGCGTTACGTTACCAATAAGTGTCGTAATCGAGTCTCTTTACGTGAGGTCTTACGTTATAGGTCTCTTAAATACCCAAGAAGCTTATTTTGATTGAAGCCACCTCTCCAAAAAACGCGTTTTTCTATAAACAAGCTTTACAATTATTTTGTAAGCCAAGTGATTTTTTTGCCTAATATATACGCCTAAAAAGGTTAAAGCAGTTTAGATCTTATTGAAGGTTAGAGACAGAGATGGAAAGGATTACGTACAAGCTATGTCTATTAAACAAGAGTCTAGCTCAGAGGATCAACGCTAAGACGTGCTACGATAAAACGCTGGAAGAGATGGAAGAGAAATATGCTAACCTGGTGAAGGACTCCGCAGAGCTCCTCAAGTAAGAAAACTTATTTTTGAGTATTAACATCTAACGATCGAGTGACTTGCAGATGGAGTCTTTACATGTAAGGTCTGTCGGAGTAACTGGGCCACGATTTTACAACATCTAATGCTTGAAGTCAATTATTAATAGCCTAAAAACACACTATTTAATTTAACGAAAACCTATATTATCAGCAGATACAATTTTTATTACTTTAGAGAAAAAATATATCATACAACAAGAATATGTGGATCCAGTTACCCCAGCTGAAGGGGATAACTGGACCCACATAAATTCACCAGCGTTCCTTTGACGTTAAAGCTAACTGGGAGATTTGGACTTATCTGTACACAAACATATAACTTGGAAAAAAATTATGCCAGCTTCTATAACAAAAACTCTTACTGTCAGAAGCAATATTAAGGATCCACGTAAAAATGCTCCCAATTAAAAACGCTTCAATTTTAAATATTTTATTGTTTTACAAAACCAACAAGGAACAACAATTTTCCAACTGGTGTACTTATCAAGAAATATGATAAAACATTTAAAAAAATCAAAACATGGTTAGGTCAGAGAGATCAGTATTGAAACTTATCATGTCTTTAAATCGGGCTGAGCTACTTTTAACTGGTTGTGATAACTTCCGAACAAAATCTTGATTAGCTATCAAGGATTCTTCACCCGTCTCGGAACATTCCATGGTTTGACCAAGTCGTTTAAAAAACTTCAAGGTTGACCTTGGAATATGGTAAAATATGGCTGCTCCTCCAATGTTTTCCATTTTTTACATCATCCTAAGCTTTCTACAGGTCCTATTTGAAATATGCCGCACCCGTTCCTTTTGCTGTCCTTCTCACGTACGTACGCACCACTATTTACAAAATATTAAAATAGTAAATATAAAAAATATTATGAGGAATCGGGGCCCACATACCCCAAGCACAGTGGCCCAGATACCCCATTATGATTAAAAATTTGGGGCAACTGAACCACCCCTTTCACAAAGCAACACTTGAAATTGAGGACGTTTTTAAGCACAAAAATAAATCGAATAATGCCTAAATATACATTCAAACACAAAATAGGTCATATAATACTTACGTTGTATTAATCTTTGTGACTAATAACAATGAACGTAGCACGATGTTCACGGATTAAAACTCACTGAATTATCACGTTACGAATAACACTCAAGTATGGCGGCCGGCTGCGTTTGGGAGTTGCTTAGCATTGTCAGCACTGTCGATTACTAACGTCAATTGTCAAAACTATAACAATTCAAACGATATGGCAGGAAAGACACCGTGGCCCAGTTACCCCTCGGGCCCAGTTGTCCCGACAGGCCTTATTACTTACAGCTCATCCAAGTGCAGCATATTATTTAATAATCTCGTTTACGTCCGGCAACACGGTCATATCCAATCGAAAGTAATGTCTACATCATAGAACGTTGCATAGCAGAGGGATGCTGCAACTACATGATACTGGTCGATGAACATAGAATATAATGAGACAAATAAATACAATCAACAACAATAGCTTTGATACTGGATTCAGTATATTGTTTCAAAGAGTCAAACACGTTAGGTCTAAATATTACACTCGTATATTGTGAATTAGTTATTTATCTCTTTACTTGAAGGTATATCAGAGAAGAGTTTGGTGACCTTGAATCCATGCTCAATAAGAAAACAAGTACAGATGAAGGTCCAACGGGAGGATATGTCGTTGATACCCAGGCCAGTGGTGAGAGGGTAAGAAATCTGCTTCTGATCGATCAGCACACGTCAAGGCGGATTGACAAAGTATTTCTCTAGTATCAAATTAGTACCTTGGACACTCAAATAGCTATAAATGATCAAGGAGGTCCGTATCCGCTAAACATATCGTTTGCCCATAAAATTCAGGGAGGGAAGGTGTTTTATTCTTCAACAAAAAATTTTCAAATCGAGACCTATCATCGAGACACATCACACCCAACTGGCAAAGTAGTGCTATAAGCATTTGGTAAAAGAACCGTTCAGCCATAAAAGCTCTCTATTGTTGCTGCCTGAACACCAAAATGCTGGCTTAATGTTGTGTGGAATGCAAATTTGCTTTCTGCAACATATTTGCTCTAAAATCTGGTGTTTAAAATATTCTTATAGCATAGTTATACAACACCTTATAGGACAAATGTTTGACTGTTGCATAAGCATTCATACAACTATTTTATTCGGCATATTTGCACGTTATTCAAAATGGTTGTGCTGTGGCATCCATGGTTACGTTTATAGAACAAACCCGAGCCTTGCAAATTTACTACTTTAGCCAACAAATTGCTCCCAACGGAAGCACTTATACAACTGTTGTTTAGTAACTGTTAAAGGCTGTACATATGCAACAATATTACAACTTTTGTAGTACAAAATTGCTGTGCTCGGCATACATTTATTGCTAAATATGTTGGTATACAACTTCACCATAACCTAACTTTCTGCTGTCACGCATGCATATTGATTCAAAAGGTTTTATCAATTATTCATACAGAAGATATAGATCTGGTACAAATTCTGTCGGTATTTCATTTCAGACATTTGTCAAATTGTTGTATAACACCTGCAGGCAACACCAAAATATTTTAATAAACTAAAGACAACATGGACGATGCCATGATTATACACAACCACCCGCCATATTGGGCAAACATTTATTCCTCTATTTAATATTAAATGATTATGTTTCAGTTCGAAGTTACAGATATAAAGTGATAAACGTTAGTCTAGATATAGGAAATGTGGAAGATTTAAACCAGATAAGTTCAGTTTTGCATCTTAAAAATCTAGACATACTTTTGATCATTATTAAAATATGAGTCAAATACGAAGCCCGTAGAAATTGCGTAACTACTTTGCACGATAATCACAATAAAATTTGCTGCGCAAGTAATTCAATAGCCCTATATCACAGTGTAGAAGTTTATCATATTCCTGTGTATGAAATTCACAATGGCCGTAAGTAAACAAGATGACTGCAATGTGTTACTTATATATTCTTTACGTCGTCTATACAATACATAAGAAATAGTTTGGTTGCAGTAACGTAGAATCACGTAACAGAATAGTTGTGTAGTTGACAAAAACTGAATCTTGCACTGACGCAAAAGTCCTATAGCGGCTGCAAGAGGTTTACACTTTTGTTGTATAACTGCTACCTGCACCCTTATACAACCTCTTAAATGACTGAAGCGTCCCATTAGGTGTGCCCATTCCGCTTGTATAGCTGTTCTAAAATGGTTTTGCCATTTGTTCTTACAGTATACAATGCTGTGCAAGGAATACTGTATAATCATTCTTGCAACTCTAATAGGAGTGTTAATTGTTAGTTGCGCATGTTCTTGATATTACTCTGTTGCATTCAGCATAAATAATAAATAAATAGAAATAGAGCACACATGTTTTTTTCTCTGCATTCCGCGGTCATAGCCAACTAATTAAAAAACTAAATCTGTACTTATAGGAGGTTTACAATACATTTTTGAGATAGATAACACTGTATGAAGTTACGCTAATTTTTAATGCTTGATACGATAAACTTATAAGAATAGGGGGTTTTCATTTGAAAAAATCGACTTTTGGCAAGTTTTGGCAGTCAAGCTTTAGACCAATTTTTTACCACCCTGTATGAATAATTATCGAAATGTCATACAAAGTCTATTAAACTATATCCCTGTTTACCAGAAAATCAATCCAGATTAAGCAATAAGGTACTCTACATAGGGGAAATGAACCATTATTTTAGGGCCTGCAAAGGTCATTTTTGACATAAAATTTGAAATATGGCAGAAACGGTTAGACTTCAGTATAGGAGAATATACATAAAATCTGATTAGAATTTTATCAAGAATCCGAATATTGAGTAATATACAGGGTATCCAGTTTAAAATAAGCAAGTTGGCATCATCTTCCGGTATAACCGCAAGTGCCATCATCTTGAAAATGTTTTAGCTGCCGTTACCCTGTCGAGGTTAGTACACTTCCAAATTTTCAAAAATATCATATGCCTGCTTTTCGAGTAATCTATCGATGGAGTTCCAGATGCGACACCCTGTAGTGTAATGTCTAACTTAACCTAAGGGTATTAATATGTTTCATTTGGTAATACGTTCAGTTTGGTTAAGTAAGGATGTGTTAAATTAGGTTAAGGACATTTTAAGCACATCTTGATACATTGTTTTCTTCTTAGGGTAAAACTTGCAAATGCAAGCCTTTAAGGGAGAAGCTCATTCCCGACAGATACATCGAAAAAGGTTTGTATACAAAATAATAGATATCGCAACCATAGCATCGCGACTCTATGTAGAGACTGAAGGGGACACTGAAAATTGAGCATTAATCGACGTCTGGAAAAAATTATCCGTATTGCTCCTTATATAATCTCTATAGCTCTACATGCACAACTTTTTCAAAAAAGTCCACTCATTCACATTCCTGAACGATCATAGTTGCCACCGCCATCATTGCTCAGATGCTCAACTCTATCCATCTGATACAGGTTTATCGGCCTCTATTTCAAGTGAGGTATTACTACCGGTGTTAATATATTGGTCCCGCATATTGAAAAAATGTATATGTATATTAGTCTAGCATAACATATGCGGACCACACCATTGAGCTCGGTACTGTAAATATGTTTTGACAAGTAAGGACATCGCCATTCTAGATCCAGATGACTATCGAGCTCTGGAGCCCGACTTTACTAACCTGCTGGAATGATAAGTTATAGTCGTATTTTCCAGACGAATCGGAATTGAGGGTACAAGCGCATGAAGAAGAAGTAGCGAAATTCGAATTTGACCTTATAGCGGAGCAGCCAATGGAAAAAACAATCAAGTCGACTGAGTCCCCACTCAAGGGCATGTTCGAAGGAGATGGTAACTTTCACAGAAATATATCTATTATCACATTTCATTCAAATATTTTATTCATACATTCTACTTTCCACGTCAATTGGCGAGAAAAAAGAGTGTAATCACCAAATATTTGGAAAATAAGTTGCGTTTTTGTTGTTAAATAACACGTCCGTCTGTCTGACGGTATGTCCGCAAATTCCGAGCTGACCACAGACACAAAGTTGGGTTCCAAAATTTAACTAGGGGAGGTGAAAGAAATGTTCTATGGAAAAATGTAGAGTATCTACAATACCAAATGGTGCTCAGTATATTAATAAGTTTAACACAAATCACCCTGCAGCGTAGATCCTGCCTTTTCTTGTCTCCAAGCCATAAAATTACATTTTCTAATATTTGCTCAAACTGGCCCTCCACCATTAGAACTGAAATTTACAAAAATAACAGCAGAATGCGAATAACAATAACATGATTTAAGAATTGCTAATAGCCCACCAACTTTTTCGACTAATTGCAAAACTGATAATCCCTGATTCCCTAAATAATTATTGGCTACACTCTGCTTTATTTATTTATCATAAAAAGATCATCTTGAAGAGCTAATCAATGTTTAGTGAATTTAAGTTCTAGTAAACTCTTCCAAATGGCCTTGCAAGGAACAAGGATCCATATAAGGCCGACATAGAAAATCTGTCGCTTATGTTAATAGGGTTATAGGAAACATATATACATGCAAAACTTTAACTACAAAGGCCCTTTTTTAAAATAAATCATTAAATACTCACAATAATATATTCTTGTCAAAAATGCTCCACGGACGTTACTTGAAGAGTATCATAGAAATAAGGATGTTTTAGTGAAAATGTTTAAAGAATAGTTTAAATGAGTGCTAAAGCCATATTAAGTAATCTGTCAATAACCTTTACATTGAAATGAAAAGAAAATTATACCGACCAAAATGGTATTCTTATGGATCCGTTCCTTGTAAGGCCACGATCTTCGAGATAGTGATAGAAATATACGATTCAGTAAATATTGAGGTGGTACAATTTAAAAACTGCTACAGTATACCCTTCAATTAAAAACAAAGTATGGCTATTTTCGTGATTCCTCGATTTTGCTAATGAGAACATTGCACCCTCACAAGCCCAACTGTCAATTTTTCCATCGACCTTACAAAGAACTGGTCGTTTGACCAGAAGCACTATCGATATTTTAACTAACAGTTCTTTTGTTTAGTGCCAATTGAGAGTAAAAAAATAAAGTAATAGTTTATTTACCTGAAGACTTGCGTCTTGCTGTGAGCGCGTATGACATTTTCAACGTCGGCGACCGATGTCAACAAATACAGGGACTCAGTGACAAAACAATGACGCGATCGACTTGCCGCCGCCTCTGAGTTTTTGAGTTCGATGGGCGTTTGATGTGAATTTGTCATTGGATGGTAATTAATGACTGTTGAATGATTGACCTTACAAAGAGCATTGCCTTCCATAATTCACCCATCTTAGATAAAATTATGTATCTGCAATGTAACAAGCGTTTATCCCTTGCCATTTTAGAGTTTGTTTTACGCCCCCACATTAATTCTTTTCTTCTTCATCTGTAGTAACGTCCTACGATGAAGTTATGGAGAATGATGATTCCCCGAAGAGTATTGACGACGTCAGACGTAGCAGCTCTTCGAAGAACCACAGCAGGAGAGCCACTGCAGAAGGCAGCACGTTTACTTATACTGCCACGTCTTACGCACAAGACCCGTAGCAGCGCGATTAGTTTGGAAGATAAAATATCCGATGATTTTCATCTGAAAACATTGACATGTAGATTGTCTCCATCAAAAAATATATACAGTCCCAGTACCTACATATTCGTTTTAACAATCGAATGCGTATCACTTTTGGTAGCACGAACGACGCTTTAGGCGTTACGGAGAATTGATAAGAATTGCGGTGAATTACAGGGAATTATGAGAGGTTGTGCAAGAGGTTAAATGAGTTTGATTGAATTTTCAAAGTAAAGATTACCTAAAATAAACTATAAGTCGGCTAAGGTGGATCAATTCACCGTTCCTCAATGCTGGAGCCCCCTAAAGGCGCAGCCACACCAATTTGGAATTCTGATTGAGAATAGCCGGAATGTTAGACTTTCTCTGATAGGAAATAAAAGTTACGTATTTTATAGCAGAAAGTGTCGAATATTTCTGGGCCAAATCGTAGCTAAACATAAGCTGAGGAAAGGTTCGTCTTAAGCATGGTACACATAGCATACAATGTTCTCGTTGATAATGTGCTAGTACTTCAGATTTCATTATTTATGTAATTTCAAGAAGTTCAAGTTTATATCAATATGTATTCGCAAACGCTCAAAGCTTTTCTTACAGGGCGTGGCCATTCAAGCGGTGAGTGTTTCGTATTATAGTTTTTCAAATTAGCAGATGAAACGCATACATTTTGGAAAGAGATATTAGTGCATTTGTGGATACCCGCTTATGTATACTAGAATTAGGAAGTAGCCTGAAGGTATTGTAAATGCCAAAAAAACCATATTACTCATTTCTGGCTGTCTGTCGGTCTGCCTCTGTCTGTCTGTCGGCTAAACTTATAGCTGCCTACAACTTGTTAAGTCTACTCACGTATTAGACATATTTCATTTCACAAATCGTAAATTTATCCGAACATTAGCCCTGAGAAAACTTAGAAAGATATTCTGAGAAGAATGATCGCGTAAGTACCGGCCACGTCGGCCTCTGCTCCCGGTGACATGCTGCTCTTGGTGAGTGTTCCCTATTCTGTAGCCGCGCTGCCACTTCTGACGCACGGGTATTAGGTATCTCGAGAAGCGACATTTAGTCGGTCTTTTGACATTTTATAGATTTTTTGTGACAAAAGGTAGGTAGGTAGATGTTAACTCAGCATTAGCCGTTGTACACTTGTTGCGGACTCATTTTGTGACTGTACGTGTTGCCTAAATGCCAATTTGTTGGATAGCATTGCCTATGCGTCCAATCATATGTTGCTTGTAGTTGGCCGTGTTCCATAAACAATCTTTGATTTAGCCCCACGAATAAAAATCTAGGCCAGTCAGGTCAGGGGATCTAAGAGGTTCATACTATTTTACAAATAGTCGTAGTCACACAGATTACCTGGCTGGCCAGGGAAATAAACGTCCTCTTCCAATCAACCTTCGCAGACAGCCGTCATGTTGGAAGATCATGATATGCTGAACTGACAGCGAATCATCTTCCAGCGACGTAGGCAATATATTCATTAGAGAATTGAAATGGCTGTCATCATTTAAAGATTTGTAGAATACGTAATGACCTAGGATTCTACTCCCCAATATACCGCACTACATATTTAGATTCCGTCGATATTGATATTGGACAACCAGCATCCAATGTGGTTGTTGCGGCTTTAGTAATGCATATTGTGCAAATCAGATTTCCATTGCTTCTGAATATAGCTTCGTCAGTTCATAATATATTCGAAGGTATGTTTGGATTATGGGCAAGCATGCCTGGAAGCCAGTGACTGTAGTTGAGTCTACTGACAAAGTCGTCGTTACTGGTTAATCTTTATTGCAATACCAAATGGTACGGGTGAAGCCTGGAACCAAAATAGAGGTATATTGGAAATTACGCTTTCTTGAATAGTTGCTTATGGTCTCTTAGTATTCGTCTCACAGTTTTTCCCGTGATGCCCAAGTCTCGAGATATCTTTAGTGATGGAATCGTGGCTATTCTCCACGTGGCCTAAAAGAGATATTTCATATTCCACGATACCTTCTTTCCTTTTTATGGACAGCAGATACTATCTGTACTCCTCAATCGCTGGAATGTTTCTGTTCTAGAATGTCATGATATGACACTTTAGATTTTATTCATACGCTGTTTGGAACGAAATAGCCCCTAGAGTAATAAAAAAGATATAACACATCTTAAAGTTCGCAACCTTAGTGGATATAAATAGGATAAAAAAGTGAATACACGGCATTTTCTGAATTTTTTATAATCCAAAAGCAACTGAGACAAGATATGAGGTATAATTGGAGAAAAAGTGTTTTTGCGCCTCCAACCCCATTAATTCTACGCACATATTTGTCATATTTAACTCATCTTAAGATGTCCTCGAGCATTTACCCTTAAAACGTAAATATCCTAATGTCGGGTATCTATACGTGCGGCGTGGTCCCAAGGATGGACATGCCTCATCGTCGGTGATCGTACGTCACAGTCGTCAATCGCTTCCGCACTGTTGTGGTGCTGTGGCTGGGCTGTTGCACTGTGCATGGTGAAGGCCAGTATCGTCATTCACCGGAGATTGGTCATCGTAACGATCATGTGCGCTTGCAGCAATTCTTCTCAGTGGGAGGACGGTCATTTAATTTTTTGTTATACATTCTCGTAGCTAAGTGTTTTCTCAGAAAGCTTAGCATGTATCAGTCATAATCCTATATGATCTGATGAAATCATAGATTGGAAAATACAGAGTCAATTTACATGATGCTATTCTTGATATTGCAATGATGCCTCCTAGTAGCCATTTTAGGAGGCTGAAAATAAATTCCGGGAATTTTGCTTAGCTAGTTTTATTATAAAATGTTTTAACTGATAGCTCTTGAGCGGTTGCTAATATACAGCCGGCATCTTCTATCATTGGCCCACCTGTAACATACAAATACAACCTAATTTTGTGTATCTATGTATTTGTAGTTTCTCTTAATTTTACTAGAATAGATACTAGAAAGCATCTCAGTGATTACTACACTATTTTCGATATTAGGAGGGCGATATATTATGTTGACAAAATTAGGATTCCTCTCATTTGTTGTTCATAGTCGTTGATCTATAATAGCAGATCATTTTATTTTGAAAAAAAATCATCAACTTGGACTCAGTTGGTGACCGATTCTACTCCGAACGCCGTATTAGCATTTAAGGATATATTCAGCACGAAGTGCATGTTGGGGTCGTTAGAAATTTAAAATGCATAGAACCCATACTGCACGTAAAAGTGAACTACAACCTAATATCGCATTCATAATGTTCAATTAAAAGTCTGTGCAATCTAAGTGCATGTCGTAATGTAGGTGTTGTAGTCATGCAACCGCATGCATACAACGAAGCGGTATTTCGCTGTTTATAAACGTAGGGGCAACCGAGTGTGCATACAAATGCATTCTGCGGTAGTAATACTGAGATTAAATTACGGGTACGGAGTCGCAGTTTTTTAGCAGTATGAAGAATATTTGTAAGCTACCAGTATTTTGATCGCCGCTTATGCCGAATAAGCACGATGAATTCGGTTTATATTTTTACGCGTGCGACAATTCAAAGTTCCAGACAGGCTGTAGAGAGTAAGACTAATAGCAATACCATTTCCGATAACAAACTGGGAGGTTATTGATGCCTGGGATTGGGAACTCAGCAACATTTCCCGAAGGCCGATTGATCCAGGGTGACGCAGCTGACATAAGAGTAGCACACAACAGTTATGGACAACTCGTTGTGGACTTGGATGCTGCGAGTTGTGTGGACAATTTTATATATTCATCATATTAAAGAAGATCCAGCTGTTAAAATTCCAAAAGTTGAGAACCTAGCCTCTTGTGGAACACGAGAGTTCAAGCGAGCCAGAATGAGAAACAAAAGACTGGCAAGTCTCTCTGATAGCCTTAGAGTGCTGCACAGGCACGAAAGAGGGGATACAGTAACAGTATTCCAGGCCGGGCTTAATCATTTGACCTCCGATAATCTGAAACTTACCAAACTACTACGTTAGGTTCTTAGTGAAAGAGTCCCTCCGTGTCTTCTTCTCTCGAGAATAGATCAGAGATCGGTCTAATGTTAAAAAATTCTCAAAAGAAGACACTGAAAGAAGCAACCCAACTTTATTGAGCCCAGATATCGATATCAAGAAGATGAATTCAACTTCAAAAATGTACAGGGTGATATTTTTGGTACGGTAGATAACTAAAAATTGTTGCCACCAGTATACTCCTGACTTGGAAAATATTTATACTTCATAACTACGTGGCAACATAAATATGCATTTTTTTAACGGAAAGCACTTCATTTTACTGTAGATTTGGATAGGCGTTTCAATCGGAGCAGTTAGATGTGATGCACTATAGTGTTTCATTTACAAATCATTGCAATGCTCTAGCTCTAACAGCTGCAGAGGTGCAAGCTGTCAAAGTTGAGTGTCTCTTTCGATACTTTGTTGAATATTTCAACAACTTAAGGATATGTTATATCAGAAGGGTTCATTTGAGACACAATATCCAAATCTGCAATAAGATTGTAGATCTCTACACTTGAAAATGTGAATATTCAGGTCACCACATAGTAATGAGTCAACCTGTAGAGATAAAAATATTTTTCAAAATAAGGAGCGTACCGTTGGCTACAATATTTGTACTTACCGCACAATGTTTGTGATGTTGGATGTTGTAGCGTGACGACTATCATCACTGGAATATTTAGAAAAAAACAACCAGATCCCTCGAAAAAGGCGAAAACCAACCCAGGACTGTTGCCGTAACGCACCGGTTTGTTGTTATGCAATCTTCGACTAAAATGTTGCATTGTATTTCATCTGAAATGCAAGAAATACTACTTCATCATCTAAAGGAAACCATGTTGTTCGTCCTGTGAGAAAATAATATAAGTTTGGCCTTGAGATGGCGAAGCAGAACATTGGCGCGTTCGAGACCCAAAAACAAACCTGGATAAAAAGCTCACGCTCCATTAGGTAGACCTTTCATTGATGAATATTCCCAAGACGGGTTACAGTACACCGAAGAACTAGAAAGACAATAGTTGCTTAATGTTATATAGGCTGATTCCTTTTGTAATTGTTATCCTCT